TGCGATAACAGTTCCTCAGTCCGGATTATACTAAAACCCGTCCGCCCGCAAGTTACCATTTACTCTGCATATATGTCACTATTTTTTATTATTACCCGCTTTTCCCAGAAATAGAGCTGAAGTGCCCACATAGGTGCACACCTGCGCACAGTATGGCGCCTTTGCGCTGTAGTTGTGTGCATTCACGCAAGTGCGTGTAGGAGCTGCGTTGTGATTGTTTGGATGTGAAACACAGCTGAAGTGGGTGGGTGTTTGTTGGCCAACAGCTCGCTCAGCATGTACGCTTCAACCAAAGATTCAACCCATAACACCTGTGAACTTTTTGTCTGCAGTCTTGACCTTTTGTATCTGGCCTGCAGAAGAAATCACAACTGGAAGACATTTTATATTCCTCTGATATCGCCTAATAACAAACTCTGGTATTACAAAAACTGTTCTGTGATGATATATATTTCTGCATAAAAGGATACATAAATATTTGATCCATGGCACCACTAAGACTCTCTTGGTGATGTAACACTGGGCTTACATATTTTAAACCATCTCTACCTGATAGCCGTCTATGTCTCCAGACAGTAGCTGTTAAGTCACATGAGTTACCTCTCCTCTTTTTCTACAAACACTGGCCTACTAACCCAACAATCAACCATCTCTTTGTGACCTTCTTTTTTCATCCTCTTGTCCATCAGCTGTGGGGCTACGGCGCGTGAGGAGACTGGTAATGCATGCACATCCCAAACACAGCATAGCTGATGGTGTACACTAGGGCAGATTTTTCTTGTTATTCTTGTCAATTTACCATTTTAAAAGCTATTTGATATGGTTGCTCAAATATTCCGAATTTTCAGCTATAAATGAAAAGATCTGGTGAAACTGATTGCAATCAGGGAACTTAATGTTTTTCATCGTGGGCCATGGCGATGATGAAGAAGGTGACGAAGGCATGAAGACCAGAGTAATAACTTCACATGTGTCCTATGTTTTTTTTCCAAATCTGGATGAACAAAGGAATAAGAGGAAACACCCTGGGTGCAGGCTGATGCTGGAGCCAGCTAGATCAGACCGGTAGCTGTTAGGGAGAAGGGGGAGGTGAAGGAAAAGGATGGGGAAAGATGAGGAGGGGTAGGCTATGGGGAAGGGTGGAGAGAAACATTTAATTAGGGCTGGAAAAAATAACGGATATGGGAGGAAAGAGCATATATTATGTAAAGTGTAAGAGTTTTTGACAAGTTTACATGGGCAGTCTGGTGGACAGAGCACTAAGACCCAACTCTCTTTGTGATGTAATGCATCAGCCACATGCTATTTTTAGCAACACTTGTACAGCATCAGCACACAGGCCTATTGATCAGCTGCACTGTTTACTGGGAGGATGAACTGCAACCAGCAACAGTGTGAATACCGTGAAGCATCCGCACCAGCAAACTATAAAATCTCTCCAGTGACTTGATTTAATAGTGTTTATCTCATTTTTATCACACTTTGATGACACCTTTCTCCACGGGGTTTTGGTTTATATTTTGCTTCTGCATTTCGAAGTATTTCAGTTCCACTGATTTTTCCATGCAGTGAGACCGCCTGCAGTCAGTCTCGGCAGCATTTTTCACATCCAAGTACAGACAAATAGAAAGCATGTGTTACATGTGTCAGCTCTGTGGCTTTCAGAGTTGTTAGCTGTCCTTTCATATCCCTGCATATTCTTTATGTCCTTGACCCTTTTACCCACTTGAAGTTTATTCATACTTTTCAGTGGCACCACATCAGAGAGCTCGTTCCATGTGACTGTTGAGATTTTTCTGATAAAAGGTTGTAGTAAATGTAACTACACTACTGCATATGTCAATGCTCATTAATATGTGGATTTTGGCTTTTTTGGGGGGGGAAATTTCCCCGGGATTTTGCCGGTCCGAGAATAGATTTGTCATACTGTGCCGTCTGCCAAATTGGCCAACTATGCCAAGAACACACACAATCATTGCATAATCTGTGCTCCCATAGGCTACCTGAACATGTCCGAGCCAGAGTTTCTTTCCTGCGCAACTCCACCCACTCACATCTCACATCCTCCTGACAGGGCTTGGAACATGCATGGGAAACTGACTCATGATCATTATAAATGCTCCTAACCTTTCCCATAAAGGGAATGATGTAGTCAGGATTGGTAAAACATAGAAAACCCAGGATTGGGAATTTTGAGCTTCTGGAAATTGAATTTATTACTTTATGACTTACTAGAAAGAGACAAAATTGAGAGAACATGAAGAAGGACTTTAAAGGAACAACTGTAGATGGAAGCCAATATAGAGGAGGTTTTATTTTTAGGCAAGCCTTTACCAGTAGGCATTTTCTAAGATATAATATAATAGGTATGGGTATCTTACTACTTAACACAGGAATATTTGTTAAAGTAGCAGTCCGCCCCTTTTACCAGAAGTTATGCCAGCCACTATTTGAACTGCAGTCTACAGAGTATAATGTGAGGAACACTTGACTCCAAGATATCAATGGTCCATCACTCCGCTGATGTCTTCCATCCTCCGCCTATCTGCCTTCAGATGCTGGCAGAAGGCCAATGGGCTGCATGTTATGTAAGAACCGCCAAACTGTGATGGCACCAAAGGGTGATTGAAGAGGGTTGATAGGAGGGCTACAGTGTTATCTGCTGCTCTTAAGGCTTTTCCACATAACTTGCTTCCAACGTTGCAAACTGACTGACTTTTGGCCCTAATGCATTCCCACCTACAAATCACTCTCTCTAAAATCTCCCTCCTGCCCTACTCTGTCTGACACAAATGCATTTTTCCAACAGTTTTCTTTCTTTCTTTTTTTTTTGCTGGGCTTGTGACTGTCATTCATTGACATATTAGTTGTTTTTATTTTTGCTCCGATGTTATTCTCTGCAACAATTATGTAACCATTTAGCAGAAGTGGAAGTTTGTTCTGCAGAGGGGGTGAGGCGGGGAGGCGGTTTATCCTACTTTTACTTGAAAAAATCGAATACACCATGAAAGTGTCAAAAGTTTGCATTTTGTAGTGTTATCTGATGACACTGCAAGAGGAAAACCCTGACGACCAACAGGGAATGTCCAGAGCTTCTTTTTTATTCAAAGGATGAAATGATCAGCGGGTTGGAAATGACCAGAAATGTGTCTTTTATCTCCTCTCTCTTCAGATTTGTTTTCTGGTGTCAGCTTTCCGAGGCCGAATGTTCTCAGAGGACAGCTGTGCTACCCTTGCATTATTCTCCCATTATTTCCACCTCAGTCAGTTCTTTTGGATGCTCATACAGGTAAGATGGAACAAATGTGAAATACATTTAGACAGCATACCTCAATTGTAGCGACGTAGAAGTGATTGAAGACACACAGAGCTGCAGTCAGTATGGCAGCAGAGCTGAATGAATTTAATGGAGGGAATTTTAGCCATTCGGCCCACACAGAGTTTGAATGAGAGGACGCTGTGAAATACGATTGTGGAGTTTTGGGTGTTTATTCATACCTGTACTCTCTCCCTCGCTCACCTCAAGTCATTCTTCTCCTGCCAGCAGCAACACTAGCTGACAAGGAAAATATGTGGCCACTCTAGCTTTCGTAGATGTGTGGCACTGGAACCATTCAGTCCTCAACAACGTCTCTTTATCGACCCCAGTGATGTTTCGCTGGCAGTTTTTCCCTCCTATCAGGTAGCTGCTTTCAGATAAGTGGCTGAAATGAGCGGGCGCCAGCTTACCATCTCTGGCCAAGAAGAAGATTTGAATCAATAACAGCAGCATGTGTGTATGTGAGGAAGTGCATCTCAAATAATTGGCTGGGGAATATACCCTGGCTTCATGCCAGTAATTCAATCTCTTGTGGAGATAAGGCACTTCTTGATTGCAAAGGCTCCACGAGGCAACATCAGCATACTTTATGGTGTAAAGTGTTACCTGACAATACAGGTATTTTGGCTGCCAAGATAATTCTTACTGCTGGCCAGTGGGCCTGGTAGTTAGCAGAAATGTATCAACTACCAAATGTACTTACCATTTGAATTGTTAGTTGTTTTATGTGTGTTACATTTTTTCTTTAAAAAATATATATTTTGAGTTTTAATTTCTGTCATATGTCAAAGCGTGCAGGCTGCACGCAAAAACACCGTGGTAACAAAAGACTGCTGACTTGTGGAGAACTTAAGCCAACAGTCTTTGGTGGACCAGCAGACCAAATATAGGAAAACCCTTTAAGCATGGCAATGACACAAAACCATAACAAACATCTTGTCATCTTAGTCATCCTGCTAATCTAGAGCCCAGCCATTTTGCCTGGCAACAGAATACTGTGTATCAACAGTAAATGATGGATGCAGCCACTGCAGAAGCAACAGCTCAGCACAAATTACCTGTCATCTCTCCACCCTGCTCACAGCCACCAAGCCAACAGCGAACTCTGACACACTTCACGGGTTTTTCTATGTGTAGTACACAAACGGAACCCTCCGCCCATAAAATGCCTTTTTTTTTTGTATTTGTTCATGATTGGAGAGAGCTTGTCTTGGGCTTTGCTATAAAATATGGTTTTGATGAATGTTGAGAAAGAGCTATTTATGGGGGATGACAGCATCCATGAACCTGTTGCATCGCATGCTATTGTCCTGCCTGTGCATTAAATACGACAGATGTAAACATCAAGAGCTGTTCTTATACTCAGGCCTATCCCACTGCTCTCAGGTCCTCCTCCTCCCAGTGCAGCGGCTGCTGAAGTATTCACACAAGGATCAGACACTGTGTCTGTGTAACAATCAACAGGTGTTCAGAAAAGCCTCTTATGCAACAGTGAACGGCTTAGTGGATCAGATAGGCGATAAAACTCAGACTGCAAAGCAAACACAACTATTTTGGATACGATGTTATAGTGTTTTAGTTTTTCACAGCAAAGACTAAATGTACTCACAAGCAATAAAGTCCTCGATAATTGCTCTATGTCTTTTAAATACATTGTAAGGAGTCATTTTAGTTCGTGACATTGGTTTATGCCTTTATTGTCCCATTTAAAAAATGTACCACATGTTTTGTGTTTCCTCAGGCGGTGAACTTCTGGCAAGTGCTGGTAATGAACGACGAACACACAGAACGTCGCTACCTGCTCTACGTCCTCTTAGGCTGGGGACTTCCAGCCCTAGTCATCATCGTTTTGGTCGTCGTTTTACTCGGCGGCTTTGGGTGGACCATTCATGCTGTCTACGGACTTGTACAAGGAGATGTGTGAGTAGAAAGTGAATAGTGAAAGTTTTTTTTCAATGTTACGACAGGGGTATGGAATCAGCCCATCTCGGCCTAACTTTTTCGTCTCTTTCCTAATTACAACACTCACAGGTGTGTTTGTAAAAACTGGTCTGAGTCCCTTGCAGTGACTGTTTACTCCATTTTAAGCTTAGGGAAAGTCCACTGCAGATTACAGCAAAAAGAAAGCGCCTGAAGCAGTGACGTCATATGAGGAGGTAGCTCGTCCAATCAACTGAGTGAATAAGTAAAGGAGTTTCAGTGTTTGCATACATGGCCCCACACAGAAACCTGAGTCTTTACCTTGCAGGTGGAGTCTTTTAGAGACTGTTATCCATCTATAAATAGTGCCTACAACAAAACAAGTCAAATCTTTTGACAAAAAGCCGCCCAATGATCCTCAGACAGGTGTGTGTTATTTTGTCTGTACCTGCATGTCAGTGGTAGTCAGGTCTGCTTTCCTGTGTTGCATGTGGGAACAAGAGCGTGCAGCGCCCAAAGCCACACGGATGAAGTTAGAGTCCTTAAATTCCATCTTAAATTAGACCGTGGTCTTAGGTGTGGCTGTTATCCTTGGGATCAAGTGAGTATGCGTGTTTCCTGTGGGTGGGAGGGTGGGAGACAGTGACCGTACACATGACAGAGTTAGGGACACAGAGGAGTATTCAGTTTCCCGGAGAGCCTGCCCTCCTCTACCAGGGTGTGAGGCGGCCTTTGAATCCATTGGCCCCCTCTCTATTTCTCCTTGTCAAAGTAAACAGGTATCCTCTTGTTTTCTCACCACTGAACTTGTCTCTGTTTCACCCTGCCTGCGTGCAAAACAGTCAATCTGAGGCCTTACGTCAGAGGACATTTCAGCAGTAACTGTATCTGGGAGTGTGAGATGTTGGCTATTGTGAGTGAAACACTTTCTTCTGTGGTAAAAAGCAGCTGCTGGCAAGTAAAGAAGTTCAAGCAGAAAGACACTGAGAGATCATATCAAATGTCTCGATTGTGTTTTCTGTGTCTTCTGATTTAACGCTGGTCACGCCTGACAGCATGGAGCATGTTGAGATTTTTTTGTAATGTGGTCGGGGCGTCAAATTCTTTGGTCGAAAGCTCCTGTTACTGTTTTACGTCACTGGGCCTGGTTTAGTCTTTACTGTTGCACGTGCTTGTGATTTTGCATCATCCTTAAGTACTGCATCACAAAACCCCAAAAAGTATGGACACTGCACAATCATCTCCTTTAAAAACAAAGTTAATCTCATTTGGATTTGAGAGAGCTTGTTTAATTTCCTCTTATTTATGCCTGAAATAGAAAACTGTGTTACTTGGATAATCTGATTTTCATTTTAGTGCTGACTATCCATATATGATATATTGTTACTCTTTCTGGTTTTATGTGCTGAAAAAGGAATGTATTTTTACCCCCAAAAATGCTATTGCTAAATTTGATTAGTTTCTACTTTATTTATTTCATTAACTTTATATTTGGTGATCTTTACTAAAAGACCAGTACTTAAGTGATTCATGGCTTCACCGCAAATATGAATAAGATCTCCACCGTAAAAGGCACGCTCACTTTATTTCTTGCCCGTGGGATTGCAGAGCAGGCCCCTGGGTAATGTTTTCTTCGCCCCCTTTAGGAATCCCTGGGATTTCTCTTTCTTGTGAGACTCGCAGTACTGTAGAATCTCATCCTTTCACAAGGTCACACCAGCCAAAATGTCCATATTGCAGGGAATTCTAAGTCGTGATCCTGCCGTCCTGTTGGGACAGGATGATGCAAGGCTTTATTTGGCATACCGCTTTATGTTTTGGCTAGCATAGATCCAATTATTTTACAGTGACTGCTCAACTCTGCGAATGTCCTATCTGTACATGATGCTCCCACCAAACCAGGCAACAGCTTGTTTTGAAAAAGAGAAAAACCGCACGAGCCCTCTGCTAGTTGTTTGCGATTCTGTTTATATAGGCATGTTGAATTTCCCAGAGAAAAAATATTTCACTCAGTTTCATTTGATATATATAAACATGCCTGATTGAAGGAAGTAGTGGAAGAATTCATGTGAAAACAACAGAGAGATAAACAGTCAAGTTCCAAAACCCCACCAACAGAGGAAATTGAAAAGAGATATACCTTCTGTGCATCTACTCAGAAAAAAACTCTAATTTCAAAATTTGATAGACACAGAATCATTTTTGTAGCCATTCCACATTATCCCCCTGTCACAGATATCCCCCAGCTTAAGCTGAGAAGTGACCCGGTTATGGGGAACAGGGTGAGACTCAGAAGAGTTAGGAACATGTTTTTTTTTCTTTTTGTTTTTTTTACTTCTGTTGGGCAAGAATGCTGTGAGTCGTAGGCAGGCTCAGAGGCCTCAGTGAGCAGATCCTGTTTGTGGAAAGCCTTAGGGGTAAATGTATTGAATTAAAGGCATATGTTTTCCAGAGCTTACCTCATTACGCAAAGCCTTTCAGTGGGATTTTCACTTCCCTCATCATCCCTCATCTCTTCTATTTTTACCTTTTTCACAATTCAAAACAGTCTAAGTGACTTCTCTCTCCATCTTCGCCTGCAGGTGTTTCATCCCAAACATCTACGCAGCCCTAAGCACAGCAGTGCTGGTGCCTCTCATCTGTCTGGTTGCCGTGCTGGTGGTGTTCATCCACGCCTATCAGGTTACAGAGCAGTGGAAGGCCTACGATGACATTTACCGTGGACGGACCAACAGCACAGGTGACCAACCATCCACATAAGTACAATCACACATCACACTGAATTCCTTTCACTTTTACTACATAAAACTAATAACCTGCCTTCAGAAATTATGTTGCACGTACCTTTCAGCTTCTCATCTATCTCCTTCTTCAGACAGAAACATTTCCACATCTAAACATTTCCAACACCTTGCTATTGTGCATGAAAAGAATCTGACGCTGTCATTTAAATTTAGCTATAGCATTGTTTTAGACAAAGGATAATACTCTTTGTAAACATTAAATAGATGCCAAAATACACGTTATGATGTTTTAGGCTTGTGAAAAAAACTCTACATCTGTGTTGTTTGTACAGAAATACCCATCCCACATATGTCACATTTGAGTCAGTGCTATTTATACAGTGCAGACAGTTACTTTGCCCACACATGAAGTTTCAAGCCAAACCCTTTAGTCCCTCAACACCGTGGTTGTAATCAGTAGCCATCAATGGGAATCAGCAGGCTTTAGCTTGTTTTGCAAAGTCAAGGCCATCCAATGACAAAGCAAAGCCTGACTTAGTGCCAGTTCTTTGGCTGGCCAGCAGTTTGCCATGTACACTGTGTGTGGCCTCTGCACTGTGTAGACAACCAAAACAGGCTTTGCTGCTCGAAGGTTGGTATATTTAAAAATCGATCTATACTTTTGCACACCCAAACTAAGACTAAGACAAAAAAAAGCTTTAAAAATATCACCTTGCAGCATTTTGTTGCTTCTAAGGAAAAAATAGAACAAACAATGTTTCCAAGAATGCCTATAGCACCTTTTATGCCACATAATAACAACACAGTTTACTTTTGAGTGAAAGGAAAGTAACATCATAAGTGAATTTGACATTTCGTCTCATGTGAGATGACTCTGCTGTACTCCAACTTTGTCAGCTCGAGCTCTGATCAGCATAGATGGAACATAATCCCTTTGAGCCCATGTTAACTGTAAGTGAATGTGCTGTGTTTGGGGCAGCCAGAATGTTCACAGCTCATTTTTCCTGTACAGAAACACTTTGTGTTAACCATAACAGGGCACAAAGTGGCTCTGGAACTGAATTGCAACCTGAATGAAGGTGGAGTTGGACTGCTGAAACTCTGCCCACCCCTGAGTTATTCGTCATGTTTCCTACCCACTAATCTCTAACCATAACCATTACCAGTGGATTTGGGTGCAGGTGGAGCTGGATGAAAAACTTCCCATCCCAAGGAAAATTAACATCGTTACAGCATTGTTGTAATTGATCAATAAATATTATTCCTAATTATTATTCATTACTTATCGTTAGGATTAGTTTTATCTAATCAAACTGGAAAACACTGAAAATATTTTCAATATAAATGCATGTGATTTATTATAACAGAAAATATCCCTGCACACTTTATCTTATGTATAAGCAGAAGTGAAGCACACATAGAACGTTTGCAGCACAGCATGAGTCTGCAGAGTTCTCTCTCTGTTTATTGTTGCTTTTAGCTGACCGCAGAATGTACACACACTTGCAGTATGTCGGTGTTGGCTTTTTACCAGCTGGTCCAGAGTCCAGAAGAGAATAAAAAATGTTATGAGGGAAATTATTTCATCGATCAAAACATTCTGGTCATTTCCTGTTAAGGGTGCATTGTCAAGTCTAACTAATAGAATATCAAATTAAAACAAATTATAAATAGTTTTCCCATTTACCAGTCAGGGATCTATTTGCAGACTCTTTTTTTACTTAATTTTATTAAACAACAATGACACTGGTGGTATACTGTAGGTTTACCACCTCCGGAATAGCTGATCCCGTTTGGACGGTCAATATTGAGGTCACACTTTCAAATTCCTTATGGCAGCAAACAACTGATCAGATAAGCTAAAGGCTAATCTGGGCATATGTGCATGAGTGTGAGAAGCCCACATGTAAAACTCACAGGACTGTGTGAAATATAGCAGGACCATTGACGTCATTGAAATCACGCAAGTGTGCCAGCGTCTTGTTTGAGCACGTTCTCAACCCCACTCGCAGAAATGTGCCAGCCTCACAAAGGAAGGCTGGGGCTCTGGCTGGGTGTCCAAAGCTAGTCTGGCTAGCAAAAATGCACAATTGTGTACCTTAAGTGTTTACCATGAGGCTCTCATCACAATGCCACTGAGTCCGCAAGGTGTGTTCATGATTCATTATGTTCTTTTTAAGCCTATTTTTACAATGCCAAGTGTTCCCGGGCTGCCCTTTGATCACTGGTTGGTTGGAAGCATGGAATTAAATAAATACACGTGATGGATTATGTTTTATTGCTGAGTGCTCTATTGCTTATGCTGTGTGTTTAAGTGATCTATGTGCAAACCCACATTTAAAATCCAAACAAACATATTCAAAACACACTAAGTGTGGACTCAGTTCTTGATGTCTCATTTTAAATTCACACATAAACTAATGAAAATACAGTATTTGTTTTGTTTTTGTCTTTTCATATAATTTGTTCCAGTTGTTGATTATGCCCAGTTTTAATAAGTCACACCCCAGACAGGCTTGTTACAGCTTGTTGTTGTTACAGCTGGTGACCTTTTTGGGATAGTAATGTCTGCACCATCTTGAGTGTCTTTGCAGCTATTTTTCTCCAGCGTGGGCTCTCTTCTTTATTTGTTTTGCCACACCGTGAACCAGCAGCAATTCTCCCCAGAAAAATGTAGGTCATAAATCAAAGATTAAACTGTTCATTTATCTCTAAGACTCGCCAAACACTTATGCACACATAACAAAACAAATATTTGCTCTGGTATGTTTTTTGTTGTTTCTTTATTAATCTGAGTTGTAAAAAACAGTCAGTCAGCATTTTGCACTCAGTCTCCGCTTGGCTGTGGGAACCTGCTGTGGGAGCTCTGCCCTGTCCACAGACTGGAATGTGCTTACATGGTCGGAAAAATCAAACCAAGTAGGGAGGTGATGGAGACATATGTGCAAGACGGAAGAAAGACAAGAAACACGATAGAAGATGTCTGTGTTATTAAAGGAATTAAATAAATCTGAAAAGGTTGCAAACATAGGCAAAAGAATATTATACAAAATGTTTTAACTGAGCAAAAATACTATCCGATCAAAATCTGACTGTAAATAGGTGTCTGAGAAAAAGTGAAAGCCAAACCAAAAATGTCAGTAAGGAAGTGGCAGTCATTACGCTGGGTGAGGGAAAAGAAGCACAACTTGGAACAGAGTGGAACTGACAGGGTTTTGGAAGTGGCACCTAAGTGAAGGCTTTTTATGCAAACTTGGGCCCCGTGCCCTGTGTTTCCATCCTACTTGTGAAGTGAACTGAATACTTTGTCCTACATAACGCCCCGCAGCAGACTACAACTAGTGACTCAGAATAATTTTTTTTAATCGGATTTTCCCTTTGAATTTAAGGGTCCTTTTAAAACCATACGTCATCTTCTATCAAGTGACTTGCCTTAGAACATACATTATTTTCCAGGCCATGAGTAGGTTCGATTTCGCTATGCTCTTCCCCCCTGGCGTATGTGTAAATGTTGCTGTACGTGATGTAGCAAGCTTTCAGCCCAGTAGAACAGCCATTTAAATGGTCGTGATTCGTTTTAATGTAATGTTGCTTTTCTTGGAACACATTCAAGAGGGACATTTCCATTTTCAGCATGTATCCTCAACAGCTTGTTAGTCGCCTACTTAGCATGCCACACTGTAAGCATTTAAAATGGCCAAAATGGATGCCAGTTGCCACATAACAGCTCACTTTACTTGGTGGTCTTGTGTTATATTAAAACCCCAGCACTGTCCACATGCAGATGACACATGTACTTAAGTTTCTCCCTGCGTGCTGTGCAGTGTGGGGTGTGTCCACCGTAAACAGCCGGAGCTTTAAAAACATGCCATCATGAGCTCACGTGTTTGTCTGGACTGGTGGTGAGTCTGTTTACAAGTGAACGCGTGGACATTGTGAACTCTATAGCAGTGCTTTTGCACATAGCTTATTCATAAAGACTGCCTATTAAACGATTTGGTCTTGATTTGGTCTTGAACACTCATCTTAAAATAATAATCACTTTCAATAATCCAAACCTAATCTAACCCTAACCCCACCGCGCCTTATTCAGATTTCCCTGACCTATTCAAAAGATTGTTATGGTCTGCACGAGTCTGCAAATGACCCATTGATGTGAATCAGGTGTGCTGAAGCAGGAAGAATTTAAAACCTGCCGAAAAGCGGCCCTCGAGGACCAACATTTTGACAGCCCTGATTTAGGCCAAGCATGCTAGCAATTGGGTGGCACAGCGGTGTGGTGGTTAGCACTTTCGCCTCACAGCAAGAGGGTTCCTGGTTTAAGTCCTCAGAGGAGCCGGAGCCTGCGTGGAGTTAGCATGTTCTCCCTGTGTCTGCACAGACAAAACAATAAAATGCCCTGTCTCTGAGATCAGTATCAGCACTTTTGATTTACCTATCTACACTAATTTTATGTAGACCGGGTTCATTACAGCAGCTTCAACAGCTTCTCTGGCAGCTTCTTCTAATCACTCTTAAGTCCTCCCCATGGTATTCTTTACCCACTGCTCTTGGGTTTACTCTTATAGGGATTACACTTATGGTGTTGCATCTGTGTGTGTGTGTGTGTACATTTTTCTATATGTTTGTCACCGGTGCTGGTGTTGTTTTTAAATCGTACGTTTTTCTTCTGTGCTCCAGAGGTGCCGCTGGTCCTGTACCTGTTTCTGCTCATCTCGTTGGTGTGGTTGTGGGCAGGACTCCACATGGGGTACAGGTACCTGTGGATGCTCATCCTCTACGTCATCTTTAACTGCCTGCTGGTGAGATCATTTACTGTTTCTTTTTTTCTCTTCACGTTTGCGTGCCTGTTTACTTAATAACAGCCCCATTTTTCCAATAACCATCATGACTTTTAAGATTATATTTTAAGTTTGTTGTAAACCTAGGCTACTCATACACATATGAGATATAATGTGGATTTATGAAGTGGAAGCCGATTTAAAGGATTGTTCTGACATGTCTTTAAACAACAGCATCTCTGCACATTGGTGTGCTGTGGATACGCACAGAGGGATTCACAATGAATGAAAGTTAAGGTTCCACTCATGGGCCTCCTAGCTGCATTTAGGGTCTCTTCAGTCATCTTTTCAGAGAGACATCTGTCTGTCATATGAGGCCTGTGGTAACCCATGGTGATATGTGGCATGCACGTGCCAAAGACAACAGCGCCACACCAAAGTAAACCTCCCCTGTTAGTAGTCACAAATGAAGAGGAGTGATGTCAACACCAACAGTCAATGTCGCTCTTAGCACTCATTTGTGAGCTGCTGAAGGTTTGTCACACTCTGTGACATCATGTGGTCAGTTTCCTCAGTTGACCAGTGCTCTGGTGATGTTCTTTAAAGTTTCCGTGGCTGTGTAGTGAGCATAGTCAATTTAACCTTTGTTCTTTTCCCTCTTCAGTTTTGTGGCTTAATGAGTATTATGTCACACTGAAATACCGTTGTGGCAGTTTTTCTAAGTGTTTTTTTTTCTTTTGGGTGTGGTTCGTTTCTTCTGTTATTTAATTGACATTTCAATGACCTGCAAGTCCTGCACCTCTCCTGTCTCTGCCTTTACACAAATAGCACAAAGATAGGGGCATGCATGCATGAGTTTTCATGCACCACAGCACATGGCTGAGGCAGTTTATTAAAAATGATCATGAAGGCCTTTTAAATAATGCCCCACTGCAGACAGTTTGCCCTTCACTTAAGATAAGACTCAACAAGCTTTTTTATGATAAAAAAAACAGCATCCCTAAATCATTGATCTGGAAAGAAAAAGAAGAAAATTAAGCTGTTATAACAGAGTTAAGGCAATTGATTTCCAATTCAGGCAAGAACATTGCAACCCCGATGGTCTGCCTAAAGTGGTAGCCCCCGGGGTCTGCAGCAGGAATAAGCCAGGATTCATCAGAGTGGAAACAGGTGAAGAACCCCAGAGCTTAAGCATGTGTGCAGAGACATTGATTAGCAGTGAACAAACACATTTGGCCCAGTTTGCATAAAGTACAATTCAAGAAATTAATCATTTTGAGATGCAGCAGCACAGAACGTTTGACTTCTTTTTGCAGATGTGTTAGTGCAAATGTTGTTGAAGCAAACTTATTTTTCTTACTTGTGTAACATAGTTGAGGGACCGAATGTGAAAACAAGCAGGATCCTGTTAAACCAGACTGAAAGTGTTCTCTTCATCACACACTGTGCACACTGGCAGCAATTTCTTGGTGGTGGATCGTGAACAGAAGCAATTCAGACATACATCTAATACAGTATGTGTTACATGATCAACTCTTTCTAGCTTTGTCGCTCTACTCTGCTGTTAATCATGCAAACTTTTTCAGGCCTTTAGTGATATCCTTTTCCATTTGGTCTCAGTGCCTGTAGGCTGGAAGTTATTACTCTGGTAGGTAGAGTAGAGTGTTTTTGTTTCTGTTATTCAGTGAATTTTCCATTAGAAGAATTTTCCATATTTACCCTGCTGTTGTTGTTGGTGTGGCTGTGTGGCACACCACCCCGCTGTTAATTACTGGGCTCTATTAAACAGCTGCAGATGTTACAGCTGTGCACGGCTGTTTTGTGTTGCAGAGCGTGAAGAATTATTTGTTTATGGAGCACTGTTAAACAACCTGTAATTTCAGGGGAAAATATCTGGTATAACCAATCTCCGAGGCTTATGAAGTAACACCAAAAAATGAAGACATTGTCTTTTCAAAGGGCATGTAATTCTTTTCCTTATTGTGCCTTCATATTCCCTCCGACACTGCTTTTTCTGCTGTACATCTGTTTCCCATCAGACTAAATTAGAAGACAATAATCAAATAACTGCGGCACCACCCCTCATTATCTCCTCAATCTGCCGATAAGCCTTACCGCCAAATATTGGCAAGTCAAAAATATCCCCAGCCATGAAACAGGTCTATTTTTCATAACAATTCATTGAATTCCCCACTTCCTCATTTTACTCTTTTCCTAAAACAAAACACGGGATATGCACATGTTATATTTGAAAAGAATATCAGGGGCCCCATGTGCATCCACCGTTTAGGCAAAAAATACAGAAACATCCACTTGAAAAAAACACGTAAACACCTACCCTTTTTTCTCCAACTGAGCTAGTCTTTTCCTGTTTTTATGATATGTTATGTTCTTTTTAATCCAATTCTAGTTCCAATATATTTATTCACTGAAAAAATGTAATTGTTATCTTTCACTGTGTCCTCTTCTTTCAACACCTTTTCTTTTTTTGTGATTTCCTCATCAACACAAAAGCCATAAAAACACAGCCACTCCAGTGATCAGGGAACACTTATGTAACAGGTCTATGGTTGTAAAGCCTGTCTCTCAGGCTGTACAGCTTGTTAATGATCTGTGCTAATCATCCACTGCGCTGCCATGATGGAACCACAGGCAACAACACACACACACACAGATTAAAATACACCCTTATGTGTCGAGTGCGATTGCACAAAGATTAATTTCCTTCTTTAATTTCTTAGACATGAAAACCAAACAAAACATTGTGACAACACAATCATTTTCCCCAGCTTTACACCCAACTGAAGTTTTCCATTTCCTAGTGGAGGGACTGTACAATTCTCATTTGATCTGTTCAAGCACACCTCAGAGGCACAAACATGCTTTACAAGAAACTAAATAAGATGCATATTTAGGTAGATCTGTGATCTTGTGTAGATGAGAGTTTCATAAAGCACCAGGCTTTAAAGCACAGCTAATGACCTGTGATCTATCCCATGTGGGCTTCATCTGTTTTCCAGTCCTCTTTGCTTTTCACAGTGCAGATGTTTCAGTTTGGGAGTAAACCCATAAACACAAAGTTTCCAGGTATGGTTCCTGTTATCTTCTTTTAATCTCGATTGTAACCATCCACACGGTTAAAAATACCTGTTGTGTGTCAATGACCTGTTGGTAAGCGATAGCGTTTACCGATTTTTGTTGTTGGCTGTGTGATCTTTTGTTTCTAATATCAGGTAGAACCTTAAAGACAAACTCCATAAGGTCACTTTAAACTTTGGAGTACTTCTCCGAGTTGTTACTTACTACTAGCATTAATAAGGCCTCTCATTGGGAGAGGCCATCTTGTAATTTGAAATCACTATTTTTATGGATTCGGATGTGTTTCTTTGGGTTGAGCTGAATTCAGTTTGCCAGCACATTTATTTAAATCCATTCGCATGGTTGTGCTTTGCTCTGTTGTGTGCTCCATGTCTGCCTGCGTCTGACGTCATCACCCAATCATGAGTGTCGGGAAATGTGGTATGACTGTGTAGTATTTGGCACCCTGGTGTTTTGGGGTAATTCTCAGACCGGTGCTGTTGACTGAAAATGTGGTAATGATGAGGAAATGGAAGAAACAGAAATCCCGGTGACGTCGTGGTGATGAAGTAATGCTGAAAGATCCTGCTGCTGCTGATAAGGACAGTGAAAAAAGTTTAACTGTCAAAGCAACAGAAACAATATTTCTTCGTTTTAAAAAATGTATCTAAAAATAATTGTATTTTCAGTATTCTCTCGTTTAATTTCAATGTTTCTAGATGCAATAAAAGAATGCACTCACCTGGAACTAGCCATGGACCATTTTATACTTAGTGCACATTTGTTTTCTGTCTGTACAGGGCTTGTATGTGTTTGCAGTCTACTTCATCATGCATAATCAGCTTTGTTGGCCAACCAAAGCCAGTTACACAGTGGAAATGAGTGGCCAAGAAGGTTCCGACTCGACCTACCAAGGAGGGGGACACGCTACCGTTGGAGGCGACATTAGTAAATCCACCCAGAATCTCATCAGCGCCATGGAAGAGGTATCCACACGTTTCCATCTTAATGAGTAATCAGAGGGAGATGAAAGAAATTGCTTCCCTCCACCCATTTATCCAGCGGGTGGGGGGGCTGTATTGCCCCAAACAATAGCTCCTATCCACCTGGGAGCAGTTTTTCTGTATCGTGCAGGATCAAAACAGACACATTCTGCACACTCAGTTTTGTAATGCATTCAAATTGTGGACACTTTTTAATTAATCTGGAGTCTCCGTTCAGTCATTGGAACCTAAAAGCAATTGTGAAATGATACTCATTTTAAAGCTTTATTCCTTCTGAGGTAAAAGCAAGAAGTTGTTACAATACACATTGATCAAAATGTAACTTCTTTTTAAACAAAAATTTAGATGGGGGAAGTAGGTATCACATCCACTGTATCTTTCTTACTCAAAAAGAGAAAGGGAGCATTAAAAATAACACATGAACTGATCTAATAAAATAAGAAATCTTATTACAACCTTTGTATCTAATGCCTGGTCAACCGAAATCCACAAAGCTACTCTCCATTACTCCAAACAGACGATGCTTGAACAGGTTTGATTCTACTAACACACACCAATAAACCTTCAGCTTTTGCTGAATGCTGCGTATATACATTCATAGTTGATTTTGTTGGCATTGATTGAGTGCCAGTACCATTTAAATGAGCAGTACATAACGTTTTATCCCCATGCAATGAACGTTTGCTCTCTTCTCAGTTGTGCCAAGTTATTAAAATAAGCATGTAAAGCATGCACAAAATGTATTATTTCCATCCTGCCACAGGCTGATGTGCTTTAGAATTTGTTTTTGTTTTTTTACCCACCATTTTCTTCTAATTGAATTTACTTCTTGATGCTTTACGCTCCCTCACAGTGTTACACTTTCTCAAAGTCTCACCTACTCAGTTTTTCCTCCTTCTTTTCTTTTTCCCATGGCTTTATTCCCATGGCTCTATTTGTCCATTTCTGGTCCTCCATCATTTATTTCAAACATCAGTGAGTGAAATTCCAGTAATAGCATTCAAACGTTTGATCACATCATGTAACATTTTGTGCTGGATTTTCTAAACCCGTTTGGGTGGGTTTTAATGATTCCCACAAACAATCAGCTCAGTTTGTCTTGTGACTTTTCTTTCAGACATGCACATTACATTCACACCAGCACTGAAAACCTACGGTACACACACATTTAACACTTGAGTTGTAACTCCTGGGCAACTTTTTTCCCAGGAGAGTACCCTAGAAGGAGAGATAGAGGGAAAAAAACAGGAGGCCAGCTTAACGTTGGTACTCATGGGAACTCTTCCCTCCCTTTCTCTGTCTTATTCTCTCTCCACACGTAGTCCACATAATCTTGTTTTATTCATGAGAGCACACTCCTGCCTCCCTTGGGATTTTGCAAAACCACAGACAGAAAAATAAGACTACAGGCAGAGATACCTCTGAAAACCAGAGGTACCATTAGAAGAAGAGTATCTATTGGAGTGATTGATAGAAAATAATCATTAAAAATATAAAGTTTGGGAAGTTTATTAGTCACCTACTCAGTATGGATGGTGACAGGTTTTAGGTGTCTGGTGGGGCTTTATTCACCTGACCAGGGCACTCTGTACCAGCCAGAACCCAACACAGCCAGACAGACACAGGCATATTTCTCTCTGATCTTTTTGTGGGATTGTTTTATTCGGTCAGAAATTGAATCTTCTCACCAAAGAAATGCTGTCTATCGCCTTACTGTGGTAGCAGCAAAATTACATGAAATTAAATGTCTTCAATTTGAAATCCTATGGCTACTGACCTCCCCCTCACCCCTTGGACCTCCTGTGACCATGTGTAAGTCTTTACCCTTTGAGGTACTACGACAGCATGCACTCTGCTTGACCCTTAGCCATCACAGCCATGATTACATGCTTGACAGTCACAGCCCGCCTCTGAATGAAACATTCATAATGTGTTTATTTGTGTGCACATGACCTGATTTCTCACCAAGCTGATCGTCTAGCTTGTTTTTACTCACAGATGTCGACTCTTATGGGCTCCTTTTCACAATGGAAAAATGTATTTTTACAATTATGATGCTGCTATGAAACATTTCCTGAATATATCTAACGCCAGAAAATGTTAAGTTGCTTTGGTAGCTTTTGGGGGAAAATATCTGGACATAGGAAAAATATTTGAAGGAAAAAGAGGACACAGTAGGGGTTTGTTGGCAGGCAAGAGCGACAGTGGTACTTGTGTATTGGGTGTTGTTCTGATTAGTTTATGTAATGGTGTGTGTCAGGTATCAGCAGACTGGGAGCGGACGTCTCTTCGGCCTGCTATTCAGCCAAGCAGCGCGTTTAAGCCCAGTCCTGTGATGGGGACATACACCACAGAGGGAAGTTTCATCAACACCAACCTCGTCACCACAGATGAGGAGTCACAGGAGTTTGATGACCTCATATTTGCCTTAAAAACTGGTGAGATACGAGTTCCTCAGCACAAGATAAACTTTTCAATTTCTTTTCAGCAACAAATCATCTATTTCATTTGAAAATAAAAGTCGCTGATAGACATGCTGGCCCTCATATCTCTCACAAACTGGTTTTTGTTTCATCCAGTAATCACAATAATAATCATCTTTACCCAATCATTCCTCTATTGACCTTGAATCTCCGTGGTAGCATGGTAACTGCACTTCTTTAGTTTCGCATTGAATGATCTGAGGGTCCTCACCACAGATGTACAGCACACACAAAGATAAAAACATGAGCAAACCCAGTAAGTCTGCATCCTCAAAGTGTCTGAATAAGAGGAGTCATTTTTATACATCTGAAAAATAGGTAGTCTGCTAAAGTGGAGGTCACTGACTGCAGAGTCTGGCTGCCTCTTACATAACCATGCAGTTGTGCCCAACTTTAGAATGATTCCCAAAACTAAGTGGATTTGGATTTCAGGCTGAGAGTTTTCTTCACTTGAATTTGGATATTTGCAGCTATTTGCATCTGACATTTTAGAATGACTCTGTAAAATGGGATGCTTGTATTGGCAAATTAAGCAAATCTTTGTTTAATATGCATCATTTGGATATTCTGAACAAGGTAAATATTCACATGTAGTTGTGTCATGCACAAACACTAAACTTAATTAATTATTCATATTGTTAAGCAACCAAGTTTGCAAGATTGTATTTGGTAGAATAATTTATTTTAAGCAAGGCCTCAAGAAAGTACAGTCAATGAGTACTTGACTTACTTTAGTGTGTAGAAAAATGAAGGGAAACTTGACATCAAACTCAAATCAAACTTTGCATTGCTTTCTGAATCATCTTTATTGTACAGGTTCAAACAGACACTCTTTCTCCAGAGACCACTGAGCCTCTTATTGAACAAATTTAACCCAGTTTCAACTCAGCCACTCAGTCAGCTATCATGATAATTTAATAATCAGAATTACATAACAGGCCATAACTTTGCTGGGGTCAGTAAGCATTGCTGTAATGAGGGTCCTCAAACCTTCGTTTGGTAGGGAATCATTAACAGACAAACGCACAACCTCACACGTACTCTCCACGCCAACACTGTAGTACGACACATAGTTGATCATTAACACCCTGGCAGAAAGGATGCTTGTGCCCCAGCTGCTGCAGGTATTTGCCGGATATGCACAAATATGCCACTGTTCAGTTTTGGCTGAAGAGCTGAGGATGACATCACGTATTAAAGTATTTGTGAACAGAATTCTTTGGCTGCGGATACATAATATAATATATTATGTGTGTCTGTGTGTGTGCCAAAATGAAAATGTCATTTGGAATACAAAGTATTTATCATATCTAAACACATTTTATTGTCCACTGTGTCAGTATTTTGCTAACTGCTGTGCTGAACATCTTATCCGTTTACAATATAATGAGTCACATAGTTTCAGTGCCTTACATCAGAGTCTATCAGTCCTCTCCACTGATGCCTTGTTACTATGACTGTTCAGACACAGAAGGGTACAGTATTTTTGCTGATAAAGGCCTGATTATATAACACCACAGTTACACAGTAAGTTGATGACACCGGTTAAAGTTGCTCTAACTCACACAGATATAGAAAGTACACATTCAGAAATCCGACCAGACAATGTGTAAGTAGATGAATTTTTAGGAGCCCAACCATGTTGTGGAGTTCTGCTTAATGTGGCTATTTACATGTCTTTCAGGAACCGGCCTTAATGTCAGCGATAATGAATCCATACCTGGAAGCCACGATGGTGGCAGCGTCACCAACTCCCAAATAGTTGAGCTGAGACGAATCCCCATAGCTGACACACACCTCTAACCTTTTCACCTCACACACGTCATGTGTTGTCCGTCACGAAAAGTCTTATCTTTGAAAAAAGATCACAGTACAGTATTTTTATATTGTAAAATCATTTGCACTAAAACTGTTTCTTAAAGTGATTTTTTTTCATATAGATTTTCAAAAGTGTATGCTATTTTACCAGACAAATACTGTTCAAATATATTTACAGGAATCTTTTACTAAATGTATTTTTTAAGAGTACTTTTTTCAATGTATATTTTGTTTTTTGGGGTTTTTGTTTAATGTAGAGAACTAGAGATAAGGATGTGCCCCACAAGCATGACCTCTGCTCCTGAGGATGGAGATTATGTAACATTGTTAATAAATAAATTGGTACATGTTTTCCATTAAAAGGGCTGATTTCATTTTTAGAGCTCAGAACACAGAGACAGATTATCCGGGGAGGGGGGGTTCACTGATAGTTATGTATCCAGTTTCTTTGGGGTCATTCCTCACAACCTCGTGATGGACGTTTTTTTAGCATGATTAGCGCCCCACAGGAATTTCACAAAGTGGTTCCAGACTCAGGAGACGTCTGCAAGTGTCTCCAAAGAGGAAAAAAAAGTTAAGATAAGAATTGTTTTTAAATTAAGAGCTTTAAACTAAATGCCTTTGCTGTTTCATCCCAAGGATGTTAAAATGATTTTTCCAAAAGAAATTATGTGAATATGCAATTCAGCTTTCTACTTTTTCAGGAGAATTGCACCTGTGAGTAACCTATTCATCACATTTTACCTTCCAAAATTCACCTCTGTGACTGCATGAAATGTTTCTTTTTCATTTTTACATTGTGAGTGGGAGATTGAACACCACAGGTCCCAGCATTAATGCACCTTCAACAGTGAATGGTCAGGGTCATGATTATGTCAGACTCTGAAAGAGCTGAACATAAAACTTTCAAATGTGCTCCGTCAAACTGCCTAATGGGTTCAGGATCCTCACTGCAGGCAAATTGCAGTAATGCTGCAGAGAAATTTGCACTTTTCCCACATGACATGGTTGTTTTGTTTTTTATGTTGTTTTTTTTTTTAAGTGAATCAGAGCAGATTTTTCCATCCTTAGATATGTATTGAACAAATTGATTCTGCTATTCCAGCTTACTAAAGTTGAAAAAAGGTACAGAACCACATTATTTACCTACATTAGAATTTTTCCAGAAGTTTTTCACCATTTAGAAGGATGAATTAAACAACTTTTTACTTAACAGATGGTGGAGAAGTTCCAACAGTCCTTAACATTGTATAGAATGTAACTAACACCACTTACGATTATGAGTCAAAGTAAAATGGCTGGCTTAAAAAACAACAACTGCTGACCCTGTCTACGTGGAATATTTATAACATATATAGGTTATGTAAGTAACTCCTGGGCTGGTCTCGGCTCAGTCTGTTTTATGTTAGAGAGAGGTCAAGTGTTCAACTTGGAACAAAGCTTGTCAGCCTTATAATACAAAGCATGATAAAGCACACTGATAGGTGTTTAATGCCTTGTGACAGAGGAAACTGCAAATAAAGTGAAATATTCCACATGTACATCAGTACAGCATATCATATGGTATCACCAGTTGTAATGGTGAAACATGGATTTGTTCTGATTGCAAAGGAAGTATATGTACCGAGAGTATACAGGAAATGATAAAGTATATTGGAAGTATATAGGAACAGAAGTAGTGTTTTTTTTTAAATGCATGAGCTCAATTTTCTTTCATTTATACATTCATTTTCCAAACCTGCTTTATCAGAATGCGGGTCAGACAGGGCTGGGGCTCAGCCTTACTGTTGGGATTGTTTCAGTTGTCAGTCTGCAGTCTTATTGCAGGGCCGACCACAAACAAACGACAACAGACTCTTTTGCTCATTCTTTCACTCAAAATAGACAACTTGCACCATGCAACAACTGATATGGAATTTTATATTACATGTCATTGTATTGTACAGGACTTCAAAACAAAGTGGACACATTCAGATAATGTGGTTGCAACTGGAATTCTTCCTGTGGGAGGTAATCAGAGCATAACTAGAAATGACCTTGGACCATGCGTACACAGTCTGACTTTGTATCTTTTTGTTAAAAAAAGTCAAGTTTAAGCACACAATTTTACTTCTGAAAAGCCAGTAAAGCTACATGTAGGATCAACCTCAAAGTAAGTCAGATGCTGCAGATAGGATTTAATGTTTTCTAATGTTTGATCTACCTGAATTGATTACTTGATTCTTCTCCTCTGAGATTAAACTGAAACAAGGACAGTAGTCTACTTAAATGGCCAGGTCTAGTTTCGAACTTAGGCCGGCTCCACTCGGCATGTAACTGAGCTGAATGAATCAGTGCATGTTCAAAGCAAGGCGTGTCAAAATGAAGGGGACAAATGTCTCTCACAGTCTCCTCCTGATAAGAAAGGATGCTCAAGATAAGGTCCATCACCAAGCAAATGCTTTTGTATTTGTGTTCTTTCAATGAAGTTCAGATCATTTTTGCACAGCAATCTCAATGGACAACTTAATCCTCTGAATTCAATAGAGAGGGTGTGAACCTCTGAAACTTGATAATGCCACCTTTTGCGTCTTTTTATACTTGGCTTTTTCACTGCAGCAGAAAAATTGTAATAAATCCCTCGCTTTGTTCTATGGGCCTGAAAAAGTTCAGTTTAGTTGAATACGAGGTGGGCCAGGCCTTTTCTCGAAACACGCTATACCTTATCTCAGGCTACAATGGAAGGGCGACCCAGTTAACACGCAGAACGCTGGAGCCTTTGTTTCTAAAATCAGTGCAGCCAGACGGTGGGTCAAGAATCAGGATGGGTTTGAAAATCCAGCGGAGTAATACACTCAGAAATGAGCATGTGCTTCTTGTTGCCCTGGTTAATAGCTCCATCTGACTGTTTTCCACATCCTTAAATTGAGCTGTGCTGCACATAATTTAGCCTTCATGCGGAGAAACACTCTTTCAGCAGGTTATTGCAGTCTGTACATCCTGTCTGCTAAAAGTCTCAATCTAATTACTCCAAGCTTTCCTCATTAAAAGTATCTTGGCAGCATATGTGTAATTTGATCAACCAATCAGCTTACTGTGACGTCTGTCGACTAATCAGTAACTGGTTTGAAGGAGATTTGAAAGGTGTGCAAGCTAATTATCGTTCAACTCACTGTAGAGGTTAAAATAAGCCAATCAAGATAAGATCCAATTGAGAGAGAAAATGCATCATATACAGATTCACTGTGCTCAAAACAGACACAACCTTCAGCCTTTGTCACTTCTCAAAGTTCCACAGAGATGATGCCGAGCAAGCACTACCAACAACATTCACACGAGAATGAGGAGGGTAGCCTCAACCATTTTGGACGGATGATTTGTGCCTTATTATACATTTGTGAATTTGTATATGATGCACATGGCCCATGTACTTCCACCACATTCCCCATGCTTTAGCCAACCTGCCCTGAAATGCACCACAGATCGAAAAAAAGGTAGGCAACAGAGTTAGCAGAAACCTTGCTCATGCACAGGAAGTTTAGTATTGTCAGGAGAGAGGACAAGTAAGCACACGGACGTACGAAAGCACACCTGTTGAAATGAGGCTGGGTATGGTTGCTTCTGTGCATGTTTGCATGCGTTTAAGTAGTCAATCCATCTCCCCTCATGGCTGTAGGCGAAGACAGACAGTAAGTAAACACAGGATGCAAATTTGTGCCTATGCAATTGTGCCTACATGTGTTTATGCAAACTTATGAACATAAAATATCACTCTTCATTAACATGGCAAGAGATTACCTTCCCCATCATGACATCAGACAGTGCTTTGCTTTCCCCACAGACTAAGGCCATGTGTTCATTTACCAGCTATTCCTTGAGGGTATCTTGTGGCTTCAACGTTGCCAGGAGAGTCACATTGTTTGAAGGCTTCAAATATGTGTTTGTGCTTGGATGAGGATATTGACATTGGCCTCTCTAAACCAACATATTAGTACACAAATTCTATTTAACTATGTTCAAGTAAGTAGTCTACAGCAATGGGAACACACTGAATAATAATTGTTCTTAAATACAGGTTTTTAAAACCTTCCTTACTCATATATTTACAAGTACTTATGAATATACTTACTCATACTCATATACGTATACGCATATTTTACTATTATAGGCAAATATAGGGAAATATTTTACATCAATCTACATTTTTCCCATTTTTAGGTCCACCCTAATCTTAAAGATATATGACGAGTGTTCACAATTCACATAGACAAAAAGTCTATTGTTTTGCTTGTTTGTAAGTTTGTGTATGAGATCTGTTAATTTCTTGGATGTATGTGGTCTCCAGAGACAAATTGCTGCAGTTCTAAGAAGCCATGTCGTGATGTAGAGCCACCAGCCCTCTGTCTTGGCTAAAACACTGAGCCTGCTCATTTAAATCCTTTGCAAGGTGTTGTTGCAGTTTAAATCATTTCACATCTGACTCTTTACTTCCACTGTCTCCATAGTCAGTCAGGTTAAAAAAAGCCGAGTTGGAGGGATGTCTTGAGCCGTTGGCGAAAAAGAAGAAGAAGAATGATTCCAGTGAGGTGAAAGGCAACACTGCTCATGGTCGTGTTGCTGTCATGGCTAGCCAGACAGTGTGAAGCAGAGCCAATAGGAATGGACAGGCAGTATCATGACTGCAAACGACATGCTGTCTTGTTCTCACTATGCTGTTTGATTGGCAAGAAAGCCAAATTGTCGCTTCTGTGGCATGTTCATGTGACTGAAAGTGAGCACTTCAAAATACATACATGGATTCTTCTGAGCGTGCTCCTAAGTATAAGCAGCCCCTTCTGCTTTGTGCAGAAATAGTCTGGGGTCAAACGTCAACCCTGGTTGTTTCACGTGCACGCGAATTATGATAAATTGTCATGCCATCCAAATGAGTACAGGCTGTTTGCCCGGAGTGGGAGAGCATTTCCTGAACTCAGTGAGTTTGCACACTATAAATACCACAAGTAGGA